TCCTTTTATTGGAGAATTTTATTAAAGACCATTACCTGGCCTCCTGGTGTCCTCATTGCTCCTGGGGAGCCATTGCTTCTAGTTTTCTCTCATTAGGTAGAGCTAGAATGTGTATGTGCACACACATTTCTTTTTTTTTTTTTCTTTGAGACGGAGTCTCGCTCTGTCGCCCAGGCTGGAGTGCAGTGGTGCAGTCTCGGCTCAGTGCCAGCTCCGCCTCCCAGGTTCACGCCATTCTCCTGCCTCAGGTGGCGCCGCCACCAGGCCCGGCTAATTTTTTGTATTTTTAGTAGAGATGGGGTTTCACCGTGTTAGCCGGGATGGTTTTGATCTCCTGACCTCGTGGTCTGCCTGCCTCAGCCTCCCAAAGTGCTGGGATTACAGGCGTGAGCCACCGCGCCGGGCCTGCACACACATTTCTATAAACATTTGCATAGGTACCCTCCTGTGAATTAAGCCAAACACGAGTTCATTCTGGTGCCTGAGTCTAACCTGCCTCCTATAGCGAGGAGCCGGCCCTGGTGAGGTTTTCAGGTGGTGCACAGTCAAGTAGAGATGCCCCAGGGCCTGCAGACAGGTCCTGTTCCTCCTGGTTGCCTTTTCCGTGCATGCTGGTGCTCAGTCCAGCTGACTCCCTGGGAAGCCCTTCTCTTCCCAGCTGTCTGGCTGAGTTAATCTGGCCCATGAAGGTTTCTTCAGGGTGTTTCCAGGTGCTGGCTCTTTGGCCATTGGGGGCTCTTTCAGTTGGCTGCTGTGTCCTTTGACACACCCCCATCATTTCGTGTGTGTGTGTGTTTGTGTGTGTAATGCTTTCCTTTCTGGCACTGCGTGATGCTCCAGGCTCACCCTGATACCTCAGAGTCTAACCTGTGTCCCACGCAGTGTCCTTTGTTGGGTTTCTCCTTAGGTCTCCTTGATAACTTCATTTGGTAGGTACTACAGTTGCCACCAATCTGCCTATCTGTTGGATGGAGAGACTGAGGCACAGAGGTGGTGTGGGCAGCAGGCAGGGGTAGGGCAGGGTGTGACCCTGGTGAGGATACCTGGATTCCTGTCCTCACTCGCAGCCCAGCACAGCCCTTGCTGGGGTGAGGGCCTAAAAGGGTGTCCATACTGGGAGACCAGCAGGCCGGTACCACCCAGGGCCTGGCTGGTGTGGGCAGCATGTGACTCTGGGGCACCATGTGGTCAGGGAACGTGGTGATGGTGTACAGATGGCCTGGGCTGGGCTGGGGTTGCATCCTCTGCCCCAGGAGTGACCAGCGGGCTGTGGTGGGGAGGCCGCCTTTCCCCCTGCAGCCCCTGGAGCCCCCATCTCTGAGTAGCTCATGGTGACCCGAGCCTGCCTTTCTTGTCATTGTGACATGTGCTAAGCCATATCACGATTGCCTTGCCCTGGGCGGGACATGCATCTTTTGGACCTAAATGCCCCTCTAACGGTGAGTTCAGAGAGCTTCATGGAGAGAATTGAGAGTTCCAGACCTTGGGGACAGGTTTGGAACTCTCAGTTCCAACACAGTGGATGCATTTGGTGGTTGAGGATGCTCATCTGGGAAAATGTGGGGGCATGGGTGTCTTGGCGGGTGAGCCCTGTGCTCATGGCGGGTATGGAGCACTTGGCAGATGACACCCAGCCCTACTGAAGTGTCCTTTCTGCAGCAATCCCTTCTCAACCACCCTCCTCCTCCGTGGGGTTTTTTTTTGTTGTTGTTTTTTGTTTGTTTTTTGAAGGGAGGCAGTGTCCAGCTCATAGAGGACTGGGTTGTTGATGGTGCTTTTCCTTTCCAGGGGTCACGGGGGTCTGAAGCTTCCAATGCGAGTGTTGGTTTCATTGATGACAGTGCCCTTCAGATAGCCCAAGGGCAGGTAGTGATGGTTCCCATTCTAGTGAGGACAGATTGTAGTTAACAGAAATGGGGAGGCAAGCTAATGGAAAGAGAGGAGCGGCTGGTTCCCTCTGAGAAAGGGTTCCCCGGGCCCTGGGAGGCCTTGCAGGCACACCTCCATGTAGAGCAGAGATGAGGGGGACCAGCCGCCATTCCCCCCGGCCTCCATGGGCTGCTACCCTACACGGAACAGCTCTGATACACACAGGGAGGGTCGGTCATCGTGACAACTGACCTGCCAGCTGTGCTATGTCCCCACCACCATGGACTCCTTGTCGTACACTTGTAATCTAAGCCCATTGTGCTCCAGGAGGAAACCAGGGGAGAAAGGAAGCTAAGATGTGGAAAATCTCCAAGGGAGGTTTTGTTGTTCCTAATTATCATTTTTGCTTTAAGGGCTGGAGTCCACCTGCCTTTCACTTCCTTTAGAAAGTGGGTGGGCCGGGCACGGTGGCTCAAGCCTGTAATCCCAGCACTTTGGGAGGCCGAGGTGGGCGGATCACAAGGTCTGGAGATCGAGACCAACCTGGCTAACACCGTGAAACCCCGTCTCTACTAAAAAAATACAAAAAACTAGCAGGGCGTGGTGGTGGGTGCCTGTAGTCCCAGCTACTCAGGAGGCTGAGGCAGGAGAATGGCGTAAACCCGTGGGGCGGAGCTTGCAGTGAGCCGAGATCCGGCCATTGTACTCCAGCCTGGGGCACAGAGCACAACTCCGTCTCAAAAAAAAAAAAAAAAAAAGAAAGTGGGTGGTGGCCTCCTGTGCAGGCCCCTCTGCAGACCTTGCTGGCTTAGCTTTGGCAGCTCCAGTGCCCCACATGTCCTTTGGCCCCTGGGTCCTGCAGCTCCCTGCTCCGGCCCTGACCCTTTCCAGACATCCCCATGGTGTTCGGTGATTCTGAGCACTGAACATACCCTAACATGCTTTGCATTTTGTTTGTGGAAAAAGCCAGATCTCAATGGTATCCACACCATGATGACAGCTCTGTCAAATGCACCGAGAGGGAAGCTAAATGGCCATGTTCAGGTACCGTGGAGATCTTCAGGGTCATAGTGGAGATTTCAAGGTCACCTTCTTGATACTGAGGGCCTGGGAGATGCCATCCTATTGGATGTCTTGCTGCCTTCTCTGACCCCACACAGGCGACAACCATCCCATTTCTGGCTTGCAGAGGCTGTGGTCAAGGTGGCGCTGTCCAGCAGGGGCAACTTCCTGCCTGTGCCTTTGCCAGTGAGTGGTGTTTAATGTCGTCAGCCCCACAGGGTCAGGTGGGGGTGTGTCTGATGTGTGTGGGGAGATGTGCTGGGTGAGGGTCAGGTCCCCTGTGCAGGTGTCAGACAGAGGATGGCTGTCAGCTGGGGCCCTGCAGATTCGTGTTCCCCGTCCTCCCCTGTCACCTCTTTGAGAGTGGCTCTGATGTTGTTTCCAGATTACATGTGACCATTGGTCCTAGGTTTGTTTTCCAGCCTCCTGATGGACATGCCTTTGAGGCTATGTCATACACCTCGGGTTTGAAGGTGCTCCAAATCTGTCCTCTCCCCTCCCTGTGGCCCCTGCCCCTGATCAGCGTCAACTCTTCTGCCTGCTCCTCAGTCCCAGCATCCAATAAGTGGCCAGGAGCTATCAGGTCTCCCTCCTAAATCCGTCTGGGGGCTCCCGTCCTGCTGCCTGTAGCTTGGCCCCATCGGGGTGACACCCATCTCTCCTGTCTCATGGTTCCACCTCCTGGACTCTCTTGGCTCCCTGTTAGGCGGCAGCTGCTCCCCACACTACTGGGTGAGTTGGTTTTTGATTTTAGTTCTGTTTCATAGTGTGCAGCACACATTCACATGTGGGGGTGTTTGTGGTTAATCCGTGTGAGACAGTGACAGCCGGAGCCTGCAGGTTTCTGCTCCCTGGGGCACAGGTAGAAATGCCTGGGCTTAATCAGACATAGAAATTCTCCAATTTTGCAAGTGACCAAGGGACACCCGTTTCATACAATACTTACAAACTGCAGCCCCTCTTCAGGGCCTCTGGCAGGACATGCCATAGCCCTGCATGGCTCATCAGAGGGGCCTGTGTCCAGACACAGTGGTCTACAAGATGTAGAGACAGACCAGATGAGACCGGTGGCAGGCAGTGGGGAGCGGAAAGTGATAGTGAAGGGGAAACCTGGGTCAGGCTGGCGCCAGGTGCCTGATGCTTGGGTCTGAGCCTGGTCCTGAGCCTGGTCCTGAGCCTGGAGTGTGGATGCACTGCTAGCGCTGGCTTCTTCTCAAGCTGGCCTGTTCCTTGTGTCTCATCTGTTGAAGCTGAAGTGGGGACAGGACTGAGGGAGTGTGCAGAGACCGGGCTCTGGACACTGCGTTTCCCCATCTTGTGCTGGTGTTCACTGTGTTCCCAAATCAACATCCGGGCTGGTTTTTTTTTTTTTTTTTGTGAGCTCACCTTTCCTGAATCTTTCCAGAGGAGTTTGTGCAGGTGTTGTGGGAACAGCCACTCTACACATATGTATTCTCCAAGGGTCTTGGTTTTCTGAAGCTGCTATAACAAAGCACCACAGACTGGGCACCTTCAACAACAGAAACGGATAATCTCGCGGTCCAGAGGCTGGAAGTCCACGATCAAGCTGTGAGCAGGGCTGGGCTCTCCCGAGACCTCGCTGCTGGGCTGCAGACAGCCGTCTTCTCTCTGTGCCCTCACAGAGTCTTCCCGCTGCCTGTGTCTGTGTCCTCATCTCCCTTCTCATAAGGACACGAGGCAGATTGGATTAGTGCCCACCCTAATGGCCTCATTTTAATTTAATTGCCTCTGTAAAGACCCTGTTTTCAATTAGTCACATCCCGAGGTCCTGAGGGTTAGGACTTTATGCATTTTGAGGGACACAATTTGGCCTTGATACTAGGCCTGGTTACTCCTTGTCCCCTGACATGCTGTCTGACGGCCACCCAAACAGGGTGAGGACAAGCTCCTGCCTAGCTGGCTCCCTGTGTCCCTGGCCTCACGCCATGGGTTTGGCCGCGGGCAGTGTGGCTTTTGGAGAGCTCTTGCTATGTTCTCCGGGCGGCCTGGGCCCTCTTCATGTGTGTGGGATGTCAGGCTCCACATGTTGCCTCCTTCTCTCCCTGCAGCTCGGCGCCAACGCCTTGCTCTTTGTCGGTGTGAACATGTATGGGGTCTTCGTGCGGATTCTGACTGAGCGTTCGCAGAGGAAGGCGTTCCTGCAGGCCCGGAGCTGCATTGAGGACCGACTGAGGCTGGAGGATGAGAACGAGAAGCAGGTCAGTGGCTGGGGCCAGTCAGCCTAGAGGGGTTGGCTGTGGTGCTGGGGAGGTGGAGGAAGCTACCTTCCTGAGCCTCAGTTCACCTTGTGGTGACATGGGCCACAATTCCCAGTGGTACGTGTTGGTATTTGAGGCTGTGGAGGAGATGCCCTGAGGTTTTATAGTTAGCAAATGGACAGGCAGGCTGGGTTTGCTGCCCATGGGATAGTGCTGGGATGGGGCTGCTCTGGGGACAGCATTTGGGCACACTGACTTCAGTTACAGCTGGAATAAGTCGGCTGCCCAGGGAGGACAAGGCAGGTCCTGGCTGGGCCTCGGGTGAATGTGACCGTGCAGGTGGCCCTGACCCACTGGCCTGAGGCTCCCACCAGCCCTGCCCTTGGCTCAGTGTGGCCAACCCCAGATCACGCTGGCACTTGTGGAAGGCAGAGGTGCCCTTGTGCTGGGAGTTGTAGAAGGGTCACGGTGGTCATGATACAGCACCCACAGCCCTTGGGGTTGCTCCAGTGGCTGGCATCACCCCATTTTCAGGATAAAACAGCCACGAGTGAAAGAGCAGTGGCTTGGAGGGAGCCATGCCTAGGTTCCCACCGCCCTCTGTGACCCGTCTTCTGTGCTCCCTGTCTGCTGCCTGGGGCCTGTGCCCAGCATGTGGGCTTAGGAAGAACCATCTGGGAGCCCCTGGGATAAGCCTGGCACATTCCAGGTGCCTCCACTGGAAGGATCTTGACTCTTCCCCCAGTCTTGGGGCTCACAGGCCTCTGTGACACCAAACTGCTGATGTCTCAGGCCTGTGGCTGACATGTAGGATCTGTTTCTCAACTATGTGAATACAAGATATTATACCAAATATAAATGTAAAAACTCACAAACACATTTCATGTATAGACATTGTTGCGATCCCTAATAGTTACAATAAAAGTAGGATATAGTTGAGAAATAGATCACATATGTATGTTTAGGTGATGTGTGCATTGCCGTGTATGTGAACATGTAGGAGGGCATGTCCATGTGGATGATATGTGGGCAGTGGTACATGTCTGTGTATATGTACATGTGCGTCCCTGTGGAGATGCATGTGTGGACATTTGCACATTTGCCTTTGCCTCTGTACATGTGTGCATGTATGTCTGTGAATGCCTGTGCTCATGTGTATGTGTGCATGTATGTGCCTGTCTGTACGTCTGTGTGGTTGCATGTATGTGTGGTTTTGTATTCATGTAGATGTGTGTGTCTGTGTGGGCATGCCTGTATGTCTGTGTGTGTATGTCTGTGATATGCAGGGATGTGTGTATATGTGTATATGCCCATATGTTGATGTGTTGTCTGTGTGTGTGCATGAATGTGTTGGTGTGTGTATAAATTGAACATCTTTCGAGGCTGAACCCTGAGCATTTGCTCTTAGACTGGAGTCGGTCACACTGGGAGAGATACCTCCTTTGTGCTTTGTGAGAGGTGTATAGCCTTATTTTGTTACCTCCATAGAATCCCAGAAATGAATCTTTGGAAGCCCTGTTCTCCCCTTAACTACATCCTCTGTAGTGGAGAAGGCAAAGGCTCTTTTCATGGGCCCTGCTTGTGTGCATTTCCGAATCATCCTTTTCTTTTCCTCTTTTATCTCCCTCCCATCTCCTTTTCCATACCTTCCTTTCCTGCTTCTGTGTAGGTCTTTTTTCATTTATTTTCTGATGTTTGCTGCCTCTCCTAAGGACTCTCTTTCCTCCCAGTATTGTCTAGTCTAGCCTTTGCTGCTTGATGTGCAGCATTTCACTGGGTTTTATAGCAGCTCTGTGAGCAAGGGATTTCTTCCTCAGCCCTATGGAGGAGGCAGTCCACACTCAGGGAGGCTCAGAGATGTGTCCAAGTTCTAACTGCAGAGCGTACGTTCTTAAGCAAGACATTTTCAAAATGTCACCCAATCCAGTTAACCCAGCCGAATGCTATTTATTGTTCAGATTTTGTCTTTATCTGTATTTTTCCCACGTGATTGCCGTTTTGGTGTATATGTAATTTTATTTTCTGTCTTTTTGCTTATCATTTTGCACAGACATAGCTACTGGTGTGATAAATGTGATTTAAAACATCTGCTTATTCTTCCCGTTAATGCATGTTCTGCAGTGTTCTCAGTGTCTGACATTTAGATACCACGTTCTAAAAGAGTTTTTTCTTCACGCACATGAAGTATTCACTGAGTAACATTTTTAGCAGTGTAAATATGTCATTTCTCTCCCAAGTTTCTGAGGTATTTTCCCAAACTTGTGCTCTTTTACATCTTTATAAGTGATGTCTGCTTACATTCTGCTGTCTATAGCAGCCCAGGCCAACGGGGAGCCTGTTAGGAATGCAGATTGCCAGGCCTCGCCCAGCGCTGTAGGTGGGTTGGGGATCTGATGAGCTGCTCTGCAGTCCCTGTCTTTCTCCCCTTCTCCCTCTCCTTCTGCCTATTGGTTTCCGCCTTTCTCCCTCCCTGCCTCCCTCTCTCTCTGTGAGGACTTGGCACCTCCTGTTTCCCCTGCCCCTTTCTGTTTACTAAGGCTGACAGCAACTCCTTCATGCTTGTTCACCTTCTGTATTTCTTTGTGACTAGTATGCTCCAACCCTCCATCCTGTTATATTCTGACTTTCCTGGCAGTCAGATGAAGTGCTCATTGTATAACAGAAACACTGATGCCTCATCCCCACGTTTCCCCAGGTCTGTTCCTCTAGCTTTGCTTTTCCTTGTGTAAAAATTCAATCTTTTGTGTTTTCAAATGGAAGGATCATTTTCCTTCATGATTTCCTCTGTTGCTTCAAAGCTGAGCTGATGTTTTGACACCTGAGCGCTGATTGAGGACATGCCTTCCGTGACTTTACCAAGTGTATCCTCAGACCTCAGCTGTCCTGACTTTTGCTGTATTTTTCCTGTCGATTCCCTTTGAGCCTGCAGAGTTGTATCTCACAATAACTGTCTGCCTAGATGGGCTGGTAATCAGCATTCAGCTTCCTCCTGGCCACCTGCTGCCCGATGTCAGTGCAAGGAGCCTTATCTCTTTGGGATGGCAGAGGGGAGCACTTGGGGCCCAAGAGGGCCCTGCCGGCTCTTGGGTCTCTCAGGTACACAGGCACTTTGTCCCTCAGCATCTGCCTGGGGACTACCTGGCCATCCAGAGAGCCTGGAGGTGGCCATGGCAGCCCTGCTCAGGCCTAACCTGTGTCAGCATGAAATGCCAGTCTCCTGAATGACAGGTGAGGGAGCCTTACCATGTGGCTAGTTGTGAGCATCTGCCTTTCATATTTTAATTCCATTCATGACACATTTCCGTTCAATACCTGTTCCCAGAGCCTTCCGCAGCCGCTTGGACCATCCAGGCAACACAATGAGTGATAGGAGAGGATTGGGGGATGCCCTGAGGTTCTGAGAGGGGAGATGGGGGGATATGAACTGATTCTGCGGGGAGATCCAGGGAGACACACCTGGACCTGGGAGAGGATCTGGGTATGGACACACCCCAGTCTGGGAGGGCTTCTGGGTGGATGTACCCTGATTCTAAGAG